GCTCAGGCTGGTTATAAAATGCCGATTTCTTAAATGTCATCAAAAATAAGGAGAGGGAGTAACTATGTAAAGTAATGGATGTGTTAATTAACTCGATGGGGGAATCCTTTCACAATGTCTATCAAATCATCACCTTATACACTTTAAATATGTTGTAATTTTATTTGTCAATTATACCTCAATAAAGCTGGGGGAAAAAAGGCTGACTACTGAGATGGCTAACACTCAGCATTCAGTATATACTATACTAGAAGCCCAGCGCGCAAAATCAAGCGGGCCCACCCACCTGCCCACCGCCCACCCGTGTGCACAGCCCTGCCCACCTGCTCCGGTCTTTGGTCGTTACAGCGTTAGGGCCACAGGCCTTTTATAATATAGATAATACTGCCACCTCCTGTGGGGATGTGTCCTGGGTCCAGCGGTTCCAGCATAATCTTTGGAGTCAGACAGCCTGGGTGGGGCTCCCCTGTGACTCTGCTTTGTCACAAACATGTGTATCTGCCTCAGAAGATGTGGTGTTGTCGCCTCTGTCCTCCAAACTCCAGTGACACGGAACTGCTTGTAGTTTCCAAAAAAACCAGGCTCACTCCCTGTCTATTGTTCCCCTACTGGTGGCTCTTTCTTTATCCACTTTTCCAACTCCTGGTTCTCCAGGCTTCCTCCAAGAGTTCCCTGACCCTCCAGACATGGCTGAGTGTCCTTTCCACCTGCCTGCTCCTGTGGCCGCCTTCGATCGACACCTATGGTCACTGTGCTGACATTGCCTAGTCCTTGGCCTCCCTCCCCCTTTACCATTGACTAGCATTTCTGGGTTTACTATGTGCTGGGCATGCTTAGTATTTCATGTATATTATCTCATTGACGTCTCCTAATAATCCGAGGAAATAGGTTTTAGTACAGATGGGGACACTAAAGTTCAGAGAGGGCAAATAACTTGCCCGAGCTCACACAAACGCAAACAGAAGAGCTGGGATTTGAACCAAGGCCTGACTCCAAACCCTTTGCAGTCCACTGTGAATTTTCTAAGGGCTTACAGTGAAGGCATATAGTAAATATTCAACAGGTAACAGCTATTATTATTTTGACCCAACCAAATGGTACCTCTGCAGGAAGGAATCTTAACCTCTTGGCACAATACTGCAACCAAGGCCACCGCACACCTGTGTTCTCCACCCCACAGTCACCACCTTGAATAGACCATGTGTGTTTTCAATAAATGACTGATGTGTGTTTTCTATCACATATCTCTGTATTTCAGAGATGTTTCTTTTTCTGTTAATCCTCACCCGGAAGATATTTTTCCATCGATTTTTAGAGAGAGTGGAAGAGAGCGAAGGGAGGGGAAGAGGGAGGAGGAGAAACATTCGTGTGAGAGACATCGATCGGTTGCCTCCCGCCTGCGCCCCAACCAGGGCTGGGGATGGAATCTGCAACCCACGTACAAGCCCTTGACCAGGAATCGAAGCCAGGACCCTCCGGTGAGTGGGCCGATGCTCTAACCCCTGAGCAACACCAGCCAGGGCGAGATGCTTCATTTCCTGTCACACTTTGGCCCCTTTCCACGTCTGAGGGAGGTGGGACAACAGAGGGGCCCAAAACAATAGCTGAAGCTGATTTTATTTGTCTTTTCTCTTTTGAAGTTGCTTTTTGACGAGACACACAGGAACCAACCACCTAAATAAACGTCCTCTTTATTTACCAAATATAATTTATCAGTTATGTTGACATCTGTCAAATCAGTTATAGTAACTATAAATAATTCTCTTAAGACACAGTTCTGTAACTTTTTAAGGATACAAGAGTAAACCAATGTCGCTCCTTGCAGCCAGGCCGAAAGTACATGCGGTTTGTGCAATCAGGGAACATAAATGAATCTCCCATAAAAGCCAACTTCATTTTCGTGCCGTCTCACCCCACAGTCCTCCCTCTGCTCACACACTCAGGACTGGGGGCGCGCCTACCTCCCTGCCTTTTCAGCAAAGAAGCTCCAGAGACTTCCAGGGCAGCCTGGCCGAGATGAGGAAGGGGTGAGCGACAGGGAAGGGGTGACTGGGGAGCACAGGGCACAGCTTCAGGGGGCAGAGGAGCTGGTTTTGGTGCCTGTACAAGAAGAGTGTGTGCAAATGTGTTTGGAGACGGGGGACAAGATGCAAGGCCTGAGGAGCAGAGACAAGCCCAGGCTGGTGTTAATGAACTCTGGTGGACACAATTCCAACTAGACAACCTCTACGATTCCTTCCGATTCTAAGGTTCTAGCTCCACTAGGTGGCCTGGGTGGGAATGGAGGGAGAGAGAAGACAGCGTCTGGAGGTATAGGGCAAGTTCCTGGATAAGGCATGGTGTTGGTAAGAGACAAGGTCATTCCTTCGCCTTTCCCTGGAGGTGGGTCCTTCAGGTGACAGAGGGGAGGGTTTCCGGGAAGGCTGTGGATAGAGAGGCTAGAAAAAACCTGCATCCACAACGCCCAGACTTTGTACATGTGTGTGGACAGATTTCCAATCTGTTCAGAGTAACATGTGGGTAAGACAGGGACTCCAGTGTTCTCCCAACCTTGTGCTAGGCAGAGAATAGAGGCAGCTAGTTGATGTCTAGTCTACTAGTTCTGAATCCTTTTTTTGGGTGGCTGGTGAAGAGAGGTAGAGGGTAGGGAAGGTGAGGAAGGGACATTTAGAGAAATGGACACTGGTTGAGCCACGGGGCTGGGAGCTGTAGCTGGGGTCAGCATTTTACACAGGTGGCATCTAGGAGGGAGATCCAGAGGCAGAACCTGGCGTGGTGATACACATGGAGACACAGCGCGGGAACGAAAGGAGCCCGTGGGTGGCCTTTATCTGGGGAATGAGGTGAGGCTGGAGCTGTATTTCCCTTCCCACAGGCTGGTCAGTGCCTGGCACAGTACCTAGCACACAGTAGGCACGCAATCAATACTGCTCAATGGGTGTTTCAGACCATGCCTGCGGCAGCACTCCTCGAGGGAGGCCGTGTACTTGTTGAACGAGTAAATGAATGGATGGTGAACGTGGGCAGAAGCCAAGCGAGAGGACAGCTGATTGCCACGGGGTGACAGAATGAGGGATTTTGTGAAGTGACAGCCTTAAGGTGGCCACGTGACCATGTGTCCTCAGGAGAAACAGCAGCAGCGAGACATCCCTGTGGCCCTCCACCTCCCAACCCTTCTCCACGTACCCATCCCTGCCCCTAAATCTTGGAACCCAATCTGGTCAACTCTGGGGGAAGGTAGAGCTGAGAGACAATTAGAGATGAAGGTTGAACAGAGATAAGGAATTGGTCTCTGGGCCCAGAGAGGATATAGATCTTGGCAAACCTATAGGGGAATATGAGTCAACAAGGAACCAGCCACTGCTCAT